GAGAATGAGAGACAGAGAGCATGAGAGGGAGGAGGGTCAGAGGGAGAAGCAGACTCCCTGCCAAGCAGGGAGCCTGATGCGGGACTCGATCCCGGAACTCCAGGATCATGACCTGAGCCGAAGGCAGTGGCTTAACCAACTGAGCCACCCAGGCGCCCCCTTTCAGTAGCTTTAAGCAGACCTCAGTATTGCATTGTAGAGTCCCGTGATGCCAACCGTCAGGAGAGAGCACCATGCCTTCGTTCCTGTTCTGCTAATCCTGCCAAGCATGAATGCTCAACTGATTTTCAGTTAATGTCAGCAGGTAGAAAATGTTCAGTAAAATCTAGCGGAGGCTAGTTGCCTCTTGAGATGGAATAACAAGACCAAAAATAGAAGTAACACATAAGTAATATTTGTACGTCAGAGCGGCGGCTGGCATTCTAAGAAGTACTGAAATGAGGAAGTAAATTAATAGCAGGCAGGAAATTTATAATCACATAGTAGTAAGCAATGGTAGGGTGAGGAGAGGACTGCCTTAAAACTCAGTCAGGGCCCAGTATGGGTTGGTCAACAAACAAACATCTTTCTGACTTTATGGGCTGTTTCAGTTAATATTTGTTAAAGCTAAATTTCAAAGGAAGCAATTTTACAAAGAAAAATGACTAAGGTACTTCTCACATTACTAACCTTAAGCCTTAAAAAGCCCTGCTTTGCAGCCACATGAAACAACATTTCACTCATATCCATATTGCCAACTTAATGGGAATCTTGGAATATCGAGTAGATCCATGTTAGCTTTTTTTTCAATCATACAATGGCCTTTCATTACATTACTCTTATCTAAATGCACAGTGTCATAACATATATGTTAGTACACCTGTTAGCATAAACCCAGATAGTCTTTCTCTAAAATTTACTATAGCTTAAAACTACAAGATACAAAAGTTTAGAATAGCATAAGAATGAGTTGGCAATGAAGAAGAAATTTGAAGGGGCTCTTTGGGAAACTTACTGGACTCTGCATGGAACTTTGTTTTTTAATCTCTGAAACTGCTGGCGTTTATAGCTGCTTTAAGGTCCGTGAAGACATCTAGGTGGTAATACCTACTTTCATTCCTTAGCGATGAGATGGATTACACATTATGTATACTTTTTCATTTTATGCAAGGTTTTGAAGCACCTGAGTTAATTTTAATGATTTAGGTATATTTGGCCAGTAACATCTGTTTTTCTTTCTTAATGTATTTGGGTTTAGAAATAAAGTTTATAGCAAAGTCAGTGACTACTCTAATATGATAATGTTTTCTTATTTCAAACAGCTAGTTAAAGGCCTTCAGCAAGAGCTGAATCGATTATATTCCCTTTTCTGTTCTCGGAATCCAGACTTTGAAGAAAAAGGGGGTAAAGTCTCAATAGTGTCACATTCTTTGGGATGTGTAATCACTTATGACATAATGACTGGCTGGAATCCAATTCGACTCTATGAACAGTTGCTGCAGAAGGAAGAAGAGTTGCCTGATGAACGATGGATGAGCTATGAAGAACGACATCTGCTGGATGAACTCTATATAACAAAGCGACGGTAAAATACCCTAGTCTCTTCAAAGCATTTTAAAAGTGTTTGTGGAATTACTGGACTTCTTAGGAGAACACTGTAAGATGTTCATGATAAAGAAAAATACATTATTCAGAGTGAGAAGATTATTAGATGCCTAATCAGCTAGAGACTATTTTGTTAATTTTCATGCTAATTGCATGTGTGTTCCAATAGCACAAAATAAGTTGTTTTGTCATCATCTTATTTTTCCTTCCATGTCTTCTTCACAGTTTATTAGGAGTGAAACCTAAAACGTACTCCAACCTGAGTCACCACACAGAATCCTTATCGAAAATGTTTACCAGTTTATAATCCTTCATAGTTTTTACGAATCTTAGAGATGGGCCTTTGTCTGTCTTACTATTCTGAAAATAATTTTAAAACCCTTTTCTCCTTGGCACATAAATTTTTTCACAGATTTACAATTATTTGATCACTTGTGGCCTTCCTGATACTATCTTATAATTCTTTAACACATTCCTATCTTCATCTGTAGTTACATATTGCTCTATTCTTTGTCTTCTTAATGCAGCCCATCAGTTCTAGTGGAATAGTGAAAAGTCACTGATTCTGATAGTTAGCATCATATAAAAACAACCAATTTAGTTGACTAAAACTTCTTTTCAGGAAGCCTTGGATTTGTTTTAGTCTTATAGAAGTTGCCTAAGGATTTCATTTAGAATATTATTAAGTACCATAGGCTAGATACATAAATTTTGTAGTGTCAAAATAATTATAGTTTTGAAAGAAAATATAAGCAAGCCTCAGAGCAGCATTTGAGATATAAAATCCAATAAAAAAAAAAAAATGAGGTTTAGAAAATGAACTGAACCTTTAAAAAAAATTAGTTCTGTTATTTATTAAATGTAAGTAGATACAGAACATTATAATGGGAAAAAATTGAAATAACCCAAATGTTAATCAGCAGAGAAGGATTAATAAACTGTGGTTGATCTGATCTGTATGAAGGACAATTACACAGCTATTACAAAGATTGAAGTAAATCAGGAGGCAATGAAATGAAAAGACCTCCAAGATTCACTATTAAATGTAGAAAAAAAGAAAAACATGGAACAGTGTATATGGTATGAACATTCGGTGTGATTCTTTTTTATTTAAGATGTATATATGCTTGTATTTGCCTCACATTTTTCTGAAGGATCCTCCCAAAGAGCTATTAACAGCAACTATTATGAAGAGTAGGGGTACTTTTACTAATCATTTTATAAATATTTATAGACTACAGCAGGTGCATTTGTTAAATACTGTCAGTAGGGATTAATTTTAGGGATTGGATAATGGGTCATCATTTTCTTTAGTGAACTAGTGAACATCTAATATTTATGAAATTATAAATATTAGTACATAATCTCATACTGCTTCCTAGGCTGAGAGAAATAGAAGAACGGCTACATGGATTGAAGGCATCATCCATGACACAAACACCTGCCTTAAAATTTAAGGTAAGGAAAGAGAGATGAGATTTTCATTATTTATCTGTTTCTTTTCAAACATCATTTGAAGCATGACATTAGCACTCAAGTGAAATCTGAATTTTTATTTCAAATGAATATATATTGAACACATATTGTGTATTGGACATTGCTAGTTTTGGAGTTCTGCAAGGAAAAGAATGGACAAGATGGTTCCCTAACCATCAGAATCTGTAACGCAGTGTTACTGGTACTATTAGCAGTGTATAGATGACATATACATGAGAGAGGGGTTTAAATTTTGCCTGGAAAGGTTTACAAAGGAATGACATTTGTACTTGATCTCAGTAATTTGGATTTTGCCAAGTGGAGGAAAAGAGAAATGCTATTCTGTGTAAAAAAAACAGCATAACAAAGGTGTGGAGGAATATGACTTCATAGTACAAGAAACATGAAATAATCTCAAATAGTGGGAAGAGAAAAAGAGAGACAGATTTGGGAAATATTTAGCATTTAGAATTAACAAACCTTAGTAACCAGCTAGTTGTGGCTGATAAGAAAAATAAGTAGAAGTATAATTAGTGATGATTTTAGGGATGGAAAGTTGGCATTTCATTCAGTGAGAAGTGTATGACAGAAACACAAGATGGGGTGTATGTGGTTAGTTCAGGGCAAAAAAAAAAAAAGAATGCACAGGATTGGGCAATGGGCTGTGGGATAACAGGAAAAGCTAGAAATAAAGACCTTATATTTGATTGGACAGTGGGAAACTTTTCAGGGTTTTTGAGCATCAGAATGGAGCTGTTGAAAGCAGTGGTTTAGAAGAATGAAAAGTGACCAGAGAGATGTGGACATTGACCTGACTGTTGGAAAGGACACAGCCTATAGCTGAATAACAGATAACTTGTTTGCAGTGTTAAATGGAGCATGGCATACATTCCCTAATACTCATTTCCTTTTGAATGTATACCCTAGGATAGTGTACTATATTATCTCTTCTTGAAATCTCTTTCTTTTATCACAGGAACTTAATATCCAGGGTAAGTAATGGAATGATGCAGAAATTTTTTTTTAAAGCAGTAAGAATTTTCTTACTGAGCCTATCTCTATGACTTATGTTTTCTTTTTAAACTTAACACATTTAAAAGCCATATGGTAAAGTTACAACTTATATTTAAAAACCGTATGAGCATGGTCTTTGGAGTCATCCCCGCCTGGAATTTGAGTTCCATCTCTGCCACCATTATTACATATAATCAATGTGTTAAATACATAGAAATGATCTGATAGAAAAAGTAAACTCTTGTATTTCAAGTCCTGGGATTTTTACTGGAGAGTTGAGTATGATCCACCAAGTACATTAGGTTCTCAGTATTAAATATCATACTACTAGAACTTATACACTATAATTGTGTATTCTTCTAAAACAGTCATATGTAGTCTAATAAGAGGGATTTTTAATTGTTATTTAATGACTCATGGAGAAAAAATATAGAAATCTGAAATTTAAAAAGGAATATCTGATGCATTGCCAAATATTTAGGACTCCAGACATCTAAGAGGAACAGAATAGGTGGATTTACTTTGAGAATACAGGTGTTAGATCTGTTACAGGTGACCACTGAATTTAAAAAAAAAACAAACTATTGACAAATACTGGTCTGGAGAGTGGGAAACTTTGTTTCTGATCATGAAGCTTTGCTGCTAACTGGTTATGTAATGTCAGCCAAATCATTTAAGATCTCGAATTCATCTGGGGGCGCCTGGGTGGCTCAGTCGTTAAGTGTCTGCCATCAGCTCAGGTCATGATCCCAGGGTCCTGGGATCAAGCCTCGCATCGGGCTCTCTGCTCCTCAGGAAGCCTGCTTCTCCCTCTCCCACTCCCCCTGCTTGTGTTCCTGCTCTTGCTGTCTCTCTCTGTCAGATAAATAAATAAAATCTTAAAAAAAGAAAAAAGATCTCGAATTCATTTGTTTACTCCTCTCTGGACGAGGAGGTTAGACTAAATGTCTGAAGCGTTTTTTCACCTTTAGAATTCTTTGATGGATGTAGATATCATTACTCCTAGAATAATTACTGGTGTGTTTGTGAAACTGCATTCCAATCATAAAGAAAAGTTATTCATTCCAGGGATGTAGGAATTTAACAAACATTTATGAAACGCCTGACCAAAGCATAAAGCATTTTGCTAGGGTGTATATGTATATATGTGTGGGTATCAAGCAGAAGGATTTACAAAAAGAAAAAAAAAAGAAAGGATTTACATAGCTTCTCTTCTATCTCAACTATTTTTTGTATCTTTCTTTCCTTTATTATCTTAATTATATTTTCCTTTCAAAATTGGTGTTTTCATCTGTTTCACTATTTCAAATGCTTTTTCCTATAATTTTAATTAACACAAGTTAATTTTCTTCAGACATATTGAAGTTACCCAGTCCTTTAAAAACAAAAACTTTCTCATACTTTCTTTAACATAAAGGACCGTTTTCAAAATATATAGTCATTCATTTGGAAAAAAAGAAGAATCACTTCGGATGCAGTGGTGGGAAGAGATTAAAAGTACATAAAATTGGAGCCAGAGACAATATAGTTACAGTGCCGTCCAGATGAGAGGCCATGAGGAGAAGTGTTAGAGTCTGTTGGAATAACTTCTTTGATGTGGGGAGGAGAGGGAAGGATGAATTGGGGATATCTCACTCATCAGGATAATGGGACATATGAGAGACGTAGGGTAACTTTAGGAGGAAGGGGTGTCACATTCTGTATATAATCCAGTGCTGCTGACCACACTAGTTTTCTAGAAGCCCTCTCCCGTGGCTTCCATGTATACTGCATTATCCTGGTTCTCCTTTTCCTTTCACTCTCCCATTTGTAGTCTGCCTCCTTCACCTGCTAATCAAATATAGACATTGCTCATAGTTCCAGCTAAAGCCCTCTCTTACTCTGTGCAATTCCTAAGCCATCTTACCCCTTCTCTGGCTTTATATGTCACTTCTGTGGTGGTGACACATGGACTTGGGAGAGGACATATCCAACTCTCCATCTCTTGCCCTAAAATCTCGGCCCATTAGGTATGTTACAGATAGTTCAAACTTACCTTAAACAAAAACAGGACTTACCTAGAGTTTCCTCTTGTAGTAAATGAACCACTGTCTTCCCAGTCAGCCAGACCCAAAGCTTGTAACTTGCCTCTGACTCATTCCTCATCCCCATCTCCATTCGGTCATGTTGATTCCACTCTCTCATCTCCCATTTCCATTTCTGAATGGAACTTTTTTTTTTAAGATCTTATTTATTTATTTGACAGAGACACAGCGAGAGAGGGAACGCAAGCAGGGGGAGCAGGAGAGGGAGAAGCAGGCTTCCCGCCAAGCAGGGAGTCCGATGCGGGGCTCGAAGCGGGGCTCGATCCCAGAACCCTGGGATCATGAGCTGAACCAAAGGCAGATGCTTAACGACTGAGCCACCCAGGCGCCCCTGAATGGAACATCTTGTCCAGCCCAGTTCAGATTATCTTTTGCTTAAACACTTTCAGTAGTTTCCTAACTTGTCTCTGAGTCACCGGAGTCTCAGTTTTCCAGTTCATCCACACACTACTACCAGGTTTACTAACCACCTAAGACATGGGTCAAATCCTGTTCTTCTTTACTACCTATAAAATCAATTAAGTCCTACTTTTTTTAGTCAAATAGTGAAGGTTCTGTACATTCTCATTCCAAGTTACATTTTCCTGACACCCAATTTTTCAACTGTATCCGACTATTTCTATTTTCTAAATTGAGCCAGGTTCTCTCCTGCGTCTGCCTTAGTTCATAGTGATTTTATCAATCTAAAGTGTCCTCCTTTCTGGCCCAGTGACTCAGCCCCAAATGTAGAAATCCTTTTTACCTTTTATCGCCAATGTTGAATGCTTCCTCCCTGTGTAGCAGAAGACATGAACAGACATTTCTCCAAAGAAGACATACGGATGGCCCACAGACACATGAAAGGGTGCTCAACATCACTCCCCATCAGGGAAATGCAAATCAAAACCTCAGTGAGATACCACCTCACACCTGTCAGAAAGGCTAAAATCAACAACACAAGAAACAGCAAGTGTGGGTGAGGACATGGAGAAAAAGGAACCCTCGTGGACTGTTGGTAGGAATGCAGACTGGTGCAGCCACTGTGGAAGACAGTATGGAGGTTCCTCAAAACATTAAAAATGGAATACCATACGATCCAGTAATTCCACTACTGGGTACTAACCCAAAGAGTACGGAAACACTAATTTGAAAAGATAGATGCACCCCTGTGTTTACTGCAGCATTATTTATAATAACCAAATTATGGAAGAAACATAAATGTCCCTCAATAGATGAATGGATGAAGAAGATGTGAGATATATATATATATAGATATATATATATATGCCATGGAATATTAGCCATTTAAAAAAGAATGAAATCTTGCCTTTTACAAAACATGGATGGGGATCTAGTGGGTATAATGCTATGTGAAATAAGTCAGAGAAAGACAAATACCTTTATAATTTCACTCATATGTGGAATTTAAGAAACACTTTGACAAACAGACAAACAAATAGACCCTTAAATACGGAGAACTAAATGGTAGTTGCCAAGGAGAGGTGTGGGTGGGTGGTGATGGGTGAACTAGGTATAGGGGATTAAGAATACACTTACTGTGTTGAGTTCTGAGTAATATATAGAGTTGTTGAATCACTATATTGTACACCTGAAACTAATAAACATTGTTAATTATACTGGAATAAAAAAAAACTTCACACAATGTGGGAAAAAAATGCTTCTTCCTGTGTAAACACCCTCAGAGTTGGAATTATTCCTTTCTTTACTCTCTTATTATTTTTTTTTAGATTTATTTATTCATTTATTTATTTGAGAAAGCACAAGCAGGGGGAGCGGCAGGCAGAGGGAGAAGCAGGTTCCCCACAGAGCAAGGAGCCCGATGCGGGGCTTGAACCCAGGACCCTGGGATCATGACCTGAGCCGAAGGCAGATGCTTAACTGACTGAGCCACCCAGGCGCCCCTTTTCTTTACTCTCTTATAGCAGTCTTTCTCTCTATTCATTTATTTTATTCTGCCTCCCCCACAGGATTGTAAACTCTTTGAGTGCAGAAGTTCTGCCTTACTGGTCTTTATAGACTTCACAGCACCTAAAATATTACTTAACACAAAATAGTAGCTTAATGAAACTAAGGCGGTCTTCCTCATTCTTCTCATTCTTTGTTTTCTATTAGATTTAAGGAAAAAGACGTTGCTTCTGAAAATAGATTTTTAGAATAATGGTTGGCATATAATTAACAAGTAATGCGGATACCATCTGAACAAAGCTCATGAAAAAAGACTTTGAAGATAATTTTATTTGCATTTTTACCATGTATTATATTGTGCCCAAATTCTGCTGAAAAGCATTTCACCGGTTTTAAAATTTAGGATAACTTTATCATTTTAGGTTGAGAATTTCTTCTGCATGGGATCCCCACTAGCAGTTTTCTTGGCATTGCGTGGCATCCGCCCAGGAAACACTGGAAGTCAAGACCATATTTTGCCCAGAGAAATTTGTAACCGGTTACTAAATATTTTTCATCCAACAGATCCAGTGGTGAGTTGCAGTTATGGATGTTTTTCCCTCAATACTAACCGTTCCTAAAGACTCTATAAGAAACATTGCAAGGTACACCTGAACTAATGAGAAATTAGTTCATTTATCTGATTATATTTTCATAGATTCCTGTTTTTAAGACATTTGTGTTTTGGTTAATTTATAGGGCTCAGAAAATACCTTAGAGATGATCTGTTTATGTCATAGTGTAATAGCATAATGAAAAATACTATCTCTGGACAATTAATACCTGGAACAGCAGTCTTCTTAACTGTTAAACCATTACCAGATGTGATACCAATAACCCAGGAACCATAAATTTTAAAATCCCACTTTAAACTCTTCTTTCTCGAAAGCATGCTATAATATTGAAATGTGTCTGGTAGGTCCCCTTAGAAATGAAAATATTTTAATATTATGTGTTAAACATGAAAAAATGGATGAATTTATTTTAGCCTGGTGGGATTATAAAATTTGAGGTTTTTATATTCTCTCTTATGTTTGTACTGTTAATAATTTTTTAATGTAAATACTCCAGTGATCTTGCATCCAGGTAGGCCATGTAATACCAAGTAAGATTTTTAGATGAGAAAAATGCTTCCTTAAATCCTTTTTGGGGACAAGGTTAGGTATAACTAAATTTAAAACAAACCATTTTAAATAGCATTCATTCTCAGAAAAATAGCTTTGTCTTTTAAAAGATCTTTAGCTAGTACCAAGTAAATATAACATTGATTAAATACAAGAATTTTAGAAAATTTCCTATATGTTAAAGAATCAAAAATGCTATATTTAAGAAATAAATTTCACTGAGTTGGAAACTAGTATCAGATTCAAATACAGACGGCACAATCTTGGCCAAGTCTCTCTTGAGACTGTTTGTTATCTGTATGTTGCAGATGATAATATTTTACCTCATAAGGTTGTTGGTATTAAGTAAAATATATGTGAAAACACCCAGCTAGACATTAAGTATTTCATTAATATACATTCATTTTACTCATTGCCTTGTAACTTGAAAGTGAGAGTTCATAGGGGAACTCTTCATTGTATACCCTATTCTGGGTATAATCTTAACTTTGTTATATTATATAGGGGGGCTCCAAAGTCATTGTATTATTTTAAGTTATTTTTATTATTCATTTTATAGTTTTCCTGTGACTTTTTTAAGTGAAGTTTTTTTTAATAAAGTTTATGTCAGAACTGTGCTAGGCAGTATTTACAAACGTTATCTGTTCCTCAACATCCTTATGAGGTAGGAAGCAGTAATCTCCTTCCTATAGCTCGGGAAACAGTGTCTCTGAGACCTTGCAACTCAGTAGCTGTCATACACTTAATAAGCAACAGAGGCCGGAATATGAACTTGGGGAATTCTAATTCTGATTGGCCAAATCCATTCATTACCTTTTCTGCTATATCATCCCTTCTTCACGTTAGACAAATGGTCTTGTATCAGCATGTAATTTGTGCTGTTACTATATTAATCTATTTGAAAATAGAGCTTACTGAGAGCTCCTAAAATATTACAGATTGACCTTATTTATCATGTTCTAGTTTATGTTTACTGCTTCAGCTTTGTTGTTGAGACTAACATAAATCTAATTGTTAGATGATATCAGAATACAATAAAAATGAATGTTTCTCTGAAAAACAAATTAACGGGCACTGTTAGCTTAGACCAACGCTAATTGGTTTCTTAATAATCTCATCATTAAGGATATATAATTAGACCAATTACATATTATTAACAGTAAACAAATAGGAATGCATGTTAGAAATACCTGGTTTTTTTAAATTCCCTAAGGTCTGCTGAGCAGGCAATAGAATAAGAATAAACAGTTTAGTAAAATCCAACCATTGTGCCTTAATGTTGTGTTTCTTTGAATTTTTTTTAATCAAGGCTTATAGATTAGAACCGTTAATACTGAAACACTACAGCAACATTTCACCTGTCCAGATCCACTGGTATAATACTTCCAATCCTCTACCTTATGAGTACATGAAGCCAAGCTTTCTCCATCCAGCAAAAGAACCTACCTCAATTTCAGAGAATGAAGGCATTTCAACAATACCAAGCCCTGTGACCTCACCAGTCTTGTCCCGCCGACACTATGGGGAATCTATAACAAATATAGGCAAAGCAAGTATATTAGGTAATTTCTCTTAAGTATTTCTTATCAGTAAATATAAGCACTTTTTTAGATAGGCATTAAATTTGGGGTACTTGAAAATACTCTCTGTATTACAAAACATCCAACACTTAATCCCTGTGTTTAGGATTAACTATCCTCTCACTGTTCATACTGAGAGCCAAAAGCCCTAAACGTTCTCTAATTAGATCAGATCTTATAGTTTTAGACTATGAGATAGCTGGATATTCAGGGGAAGGTCTGGGAATCAAGACCCTCAGTTTAATCTTGGCCTTGCCACCTACTGTGAGATCTTGGGTAAGTCACATCATTTTTAATGGTGTGCTTCCTCATCTGTAAAATGAGGGAATACTTGAGTTCTAAGGGTGCCCCCGCCAACGAGTTCCCCACTTTGTGTCTTAACAGTCTTTCAAACCGGGTCCATCCTGGGGGCAACAAGGATATTTAATTTCTCTAAATGATTGCCAACACCAGCCACAGTGTTTGGTGTAGCCCTGGAGTTCAGTTACGTGCCACTTGAATTAGTCCATTGCTCTTGGTTACGGGTTGTCTTAATATAAAATGCCACAAGATGGCACTATAAATAGGTGTTTCATTGATATTTCACTTTGTCATACAGATTGTTTATGATAGCTTTTTATAAAATATTCACCTAATTTTAGTAGTAAAGCATATCAATAATAAATACATACCCATGTCAATGGCATGGTTCTGTTATTAAAGTTTTTAATCTTACCAAACACTTGAATAAACAATGATCACTTGAATAAAATAGAATCTTTATTCTTTTTTTTTTGTAAGCTATATTCCTACAGTTTGTACAACTCTCATTCTATTCAACACCATTTTTACTTAGAAACCTACAATATAAATTGCAGTTTTCCTATGTTCCCACCCTGGAAAAATATGACTAGGGCTTGGTTCCTCTGCCAGGTGGCTGTAACTGTGGATAGTGCTCTGTAGCTTGGTATGTGGTGTGATTCAACAGACTGACTGCCCTGTTGTGTGAAATACAGGGGCCGCTAGCATTGGAAAGGGCCTTGGAGGAATGTTGTTCTCAAGATTTGGACGTTCATCTACATCACAGTCGTCTGAGGCATCAAAAGACTCAATAGAAGATGAGAAGAAGCCAGTTGCCTTGCTTCCCACGACCACTGTTGCAACACAGATCCTTCCACACAGCAGTTCTGGCTTTCTGGATTCTGCATGTTAGTTCATACTCTTCTTTCCTTACGTTTATACCCTATCTCTTACAACTTGAGGCACAGAGGATGAAGATACTGACAGGAGCAGTCAACTCTAAATCTAAAGCATAAGTTAGCTTTTAAAGAAACAATGCTTTCCTTTGATTATATTTTTAAGTGTAATTCCCAGGTAAATGCAGTATTACTCTCTGCATTGGTGACTTAATAGTTAAGAATTATTAATAATCAGGGCCTGGTGGCAAGGTGTCTTAAACATCAAGTATAAAACAAATCTCTTTGGGGTGAGCACCCCCTGATTTTTATGAAGTAGAGTTTTTATAATATGGCCTTAAAAATTAATTTAACTGCTTCAAACCTATACTGTGTATATTCTTGATACTTTTTAAAAGCCACTATGCCAAAACCATCCTGCTGCTAATTCCACAGTTCCCTTCATCCAACCAAATTATAAGACTTTCAGGCTTATATTATTGTATTGGATCTGCTGTATGGCTTTCAATCCTATCCCAGCTACCTAGCAAAAGTAGATATTCAAGAAGTAAGTGAATGAATGGATAGTTATGCTGGACTTAGCATTACCATGGAGCTTTATTTAATTTTTTCCAGTAGATTTCTAAGGTTTAAGATCTTGAATAGTTGTGAAACTCTTACACATTTATTATATATATCTAATTCCAAGGGTCTAAATTTGAACCTTATATTTAAGTGTCCATTAAAATAAGACTAGTAAGTCCTATTTTTCTATTGATTTACGTAAGGAAATGTGGATTCTCAAACTAGCTGCTTTTTGTAACTATAGCCAGCAGAAAGCTTTCCTTCCTTTTGTCAGTAAATGTTTAAGCAGATTTTATTTCAGGTACTTGTAGCCTTATTTTCTTGCTGTGTCTGCTACTCTAAATTTTAAAATGACCAGCATCCATTGCCATCCATAAAACATACTTAAAAAGGAAACTCAGATGTGGCAGTCCTAGAGGCTGGATCTTTCTCCACAGTCAGGCCCACTCCAGAAGGAATTGTCCTGGACATTCCTGACTTGGACATTCCTATTTGGGCCAGTAACATTTTTTTAACTTAATCCTATTTATGTCAGACTCTTGAGTACTGAAAATTTTATAATTGTAAGCCTTTTGAACACTGCCTAGAAAATTCATTTTAGACTTTGATATTTGTACAAAATTCATTTTTTAGTTTCTTACATAAGTTCCTATACTATTGCTGACTTAAGCTTTTACTTCTATTTAATACCAGAAATGTGACTGTAAAAATACAAAATTCTATTGTGACATGCCGAGGTCAAAACTCTAAACTTCCGAGGAAAAATACTTTCAAAGAATTTTGTAAGATGGCAGGTAAAAAGTCACAATTCCTTGTAATGTTAATGCCCCCGAGAAAGGGTAATGAAGACATAAAGAGAGAATCTATAGTATCTGAGGGAAGAAAGCTGTTTTTTAGGTCTTTTTACTGTTTAACATAGTAATTTCAAAATGGTAATAGAGAAACCTCTCTCTTCTTTCAGGACAGCAGTTATAGAGGTGCTTAGCTATATTGCATCATTATATTTTGATAGCTTAACAATACACTTTCTGTCATTCTTGCATATAAATTCTTTGTTGGTCCTAATGGTAAATACCTTGTCGACTATAGACTCCACTAAATATGAGCTAATGGTAACTCTTGGTTAACATATATTTATCTCTAGACATCGATGTAGCTATTAAAATTAAACTACTATAGAATTCCACGTTTTAAACCAAATTCCCAAGATTTGCCTTACTAATTCTCAGACTTGCTTCAATAATACACTTCTATGTAATCCTGATTTAGACATTCCTTATGTCATACTTGCTGTATCTTGCAAATCATAAAGCCTTTCTTCCTTAAATCTTCTTTCTGGAATTTGGTCATCGTGACTAGGTGATTCTGGCTTCCTTCCTTCTTTCTGCTCACACTGATTGCCTCAGTTCTTCTTGATAACCTTTATTCTGAAGCTTCAGATTCTCTTGCTTTTTCAAGGTAAGATGGACACAGACTTTGAATTCATGAATCAATCTGGGTTTCTCTCTTTGAAGAGTATGTGTGTGTTGTCCGTTGAAACCGCTTTATTGTCATCAAGTTGAAGCATCTTAGATAGCTATTCTTCATTTCTTTTGAAAAGTCCAGGCTTATATATGGTGGTTTTATGGTTCCATTTCTTGTGCTCCTCTGTGTTTGTAACATATTATATATATTAAAAAAAAAAAAAAGTCTGTTTCTTTTAGCATGTTTTGCCTCTACATTAGAATTTATGTGAGCTATAAATTTTGGAGGTATCTGGGTGTCAACAGATTATGACATTGTATTTCAAAGTTAATTATGCTTACATTTTCCATGAAAGAGCTCTTCATAAAAACCAAAGTGTGTACTTCTTTATGTATGCTAGGTGTAATCAGCATATTTGGGAGTAGTATTCTAACTTTTGACCACTACATCATTGAAGACCCTTTGTAGCCATCAGCCAACACTTTACAGCATCTTGTATTTTCAGCCAACACTTTACAGCATCTTGTATTTTTTTTTTCACAGATTTCAGACTTCAGGAATCGTTCTTTAATCTCCCACAACTTCTTTTTCCGGAAAATGTAATGCAGAATAAAGATAATACCCTCGGTATGGTATATGTCAGGAATAGCGCCAGAATACTATGAAAATGATCTACTTAGAGGTCTTCTGCTCACTGAAAAATTTCATCAATTCTTCTGTGAGATCAGCTTGAATGTCACCATTATAGACTATTTTATATATATTTTCTTCCTGTATTTTCTAATCTTAAGTAGTAGTGGTCCTGAAACTCAAGTATTGATTAGCCACTCAATGTGCTAAAATGATACTCCTGTACGTTCCTACAAAGAAGGAACCTTATAGAGAGGGAAGAAAAGCATTAGTCTGTTTTCCTTCTTTATTGTCCTAAAGGCTTCAGAGAGGTTCACTGTTCTTTTCATGTAAGACATGTAGATATAAAAAGGTTTCATAATATAAGATATGTAGTCATTCCCAGTTATTTCAGGTGTCAGTAACATTACTCCTTAGGGCTGTAGGTATGCACAAATATTTAACCTTCTTTAAGAGGGGTAGGGTTGCTTTTAAAAATTAGTGGTTTGGGATGTAAGAGATATTTTCAGTCTTTTAATTTTCAGCAGATTCTAAATGTATCACTAAGGATTCATCTTAGTTTAAAATCACTTTATCATTAACTTTCATTCCTTTTTCCACAGCTCCTCTCTTTTTCCTTTTTCTTTTTTTTTTTTTTAATATTGGATTTGTCTTTAACAAAAAATATGTTACAAGTTTTTCCTTGGATTTTTAACTGCATCTAATTTTACAACTTCTCTGTTTAACTGTTAATATCCCATACTTTTTTTTCTATTTTAAAAGAAAAAAAAACTCGATAAAAATTCCAAAACAATATTTTAATATAACAAACGGATTCGGGTTTTTTTGCTCCCTAGCAACAGTTTGTGTTGCTGTAACTTCATGAATTTCCCCCCAAGGAATGATCTTATATAAGTGCTCTCTCTGGCCCCACTCATGTAAATAGTTAGTCAAATCCATGAAGAAATTATTTGATTTGTGCATTTTGCATATTTAATTGGATGAAGGAAAATTAATCCACTCATTTATCGTGCATTCAAGTAGCCCTTATATCTACCATCTTAAAACGATCCCAACTATCTAGGCAACTAGACCACTAATTATAACTACACCAAACTGACTCAAATGGTAATATGTGTGTGGCTTCTATTTCTCTTCCCCTGCTTTTTTTCATTTAACAATTACTTGTTAAAGGTTTACCATGGGTCAAGGTACCAAGCTTGTCACTAGAAAAGATACCAATATGAAACAGACTTCAGTACTGCCCACAAAGATGTAAATGCTGGTGTTGAAATTAAATATTTTCCAGAGAATATATATATATTCTAGTAGGGAGGTGAATAACTACATGAATAATTATAGTATATGGTAGAATATGATGAGCCACATAACAAAGGTACAGGTAAAGGACTCTGTCAGTTCTAGGGAATGAGAAAATGCTTTCAGGTAGGAAAATCATAAAAGGCTCTGTGGAAGTAGGATTTGGACATGCAGAGAGAAAAAGATGTTTCAGGAGAAAAAACAGCATAAGCAAAGCACAGGGTATGTAGAGAACCAGAAGTTAGTTAAATGGAAGGGAATCGTTCTAAATAGGATTGGAAAAGTTTCTTAAACCAGATTGTAGAGGGTCCAACAAATCTGCCCATCTCCTGGAGTTTTTTGTATTCAAGATTTACCCACAGAGCCTACATTTACCCATAAAGCCCATCTGTTCTCAAACATGAGGTATTTTGAGTATCTTTCAGGATAGATTAATATTGGAAAATTATTTTAGCAGATATGAAAACTGATTACAAAACTCATTTTAGAGTTTTTGTTTTTTCCTTTTTTTTTTTAAGATTTTATTTATTTGAGAGAGCGAGAGTGAATGAAGGCGGGGGTATGACGGAGAAGGAGAAACAGACTCCCCACCGAACAAGGAGCCCGATGCGGGGCTCCATCCCAGTACCCTGAGATCATGACCTGAGCCCAAGGCAGATGCCTAATGACTGAGCCACCCAGGCGCCCCAGAGTTCTTGTTTTTTCAAATAAAGGACAGCTGGAGAGTATTCTTAAATGTATTTGAAATTATAACAATTCACAAAATATAGATATTCCTTGAATGTCAGACACCTAACCACATGAAATGTATAGCTGAACTGAGGCAGCACAAAAATAAGACATAATTTACCAACAAGAACTCAGCATAATCTTTTTTATTATGAAAGAATCTTTTGCCAGTGATTTGAAAACACAATTTCCTTTACTAGTATTTTTCTTGGTGTCTGCCTGTAGCCAAAAATCATGCAGTTATGACCGTAATTATTACTTAAAATAGATTTTTTTTTTTAAGATTTATTTGTTAGAGCGAGAGGAGGGGGAGGGGAGAGGAAGACGGAGAATCCCAAACAGATTCCCCACTGAGCGCAGAGCCCGACTCAGGGCTCTATCTCATGACCCTGAAACCATGACCTGAGCCAAAACCAAGAGTTGGACACTTAACTGACTGAGTCACCCCGGTGCCCCCAAGATAACTGTTAAGATTAAGTTTTTGAAAATTTCTCTCCAGGAAAGTTAAGATGTTTCCATTAAAACAGTAGAAACCTGTCCAATTAGTACACATTTTAATACTAAGACGCTAACTTTCTGTTCACACATATTGTTTAATACCATATCCATGTGGACAAGCCTTGTACAGAGTTCTCTAATGAAAGCACAGTACTGATGACACTTTACCTCCATACTTCATAAATTGCAGACCTTCACTTTGGGGAAAGAGGCCTATATGCGAGACTCCCCAGAAAAGCAGAGAATCCATGTTTTAAAGCAGTATAAGCAAACTGCTAATGATTGTTAAAATCTAACAGTCTTTGGGCGCCTGGGTGGCTCAGTTGGTTGAGCGACTGCCTTCGGCTCAGGTCATGATCCTGGAGTCCCGGGATCGAGTCCCGCATCGGGCTCAGGGAGCCCGATGCGGGACTCGATCCCGGGACTCCAGGATCATGACCTGAGCCGAAGGCAGCCGCTTAACCAACTGAGCCACCCAGGTGCCCAAGCTTAGCAACTTTTAAAATAACAGTCTTTGGGCGCCTGGGTGGCTCAGTTGGTTAAGCGGCTGCCTTCGGCTCAGGTCATGATCCTGGAGTCCCGGGATCGAGTCCCGCATCGGGCTCCCCCGCTCGGCAGGGAGTCTGCTTCTCTCTCTGACCCTCTTCCCTCT